CAACCACACGCACCAAAACCCACCCACTCACGTTCACACTACCACACACCCATATCCACCCATACCCACACCCTCACACCCAACACTGCATAGCCACAACCACTCCCACCGGCACGGGCACACTCACATCCAACACTTCACAGCCGCAACCACCCACACACAACCACACTCACATCCACATCTACACCCACACCCAGCCACACTCACATCCACATCCATACATCTACACCAACAGCTACAACTACAGCCATACCCTGGATCTACAGCTACACCCACCAACACCGGCACCCACACACTCACACCCATCCACATCCACAGCCACACCCACCTACACCTACACCCACACCCACACCCCACACCCACATCTCAAACCTCACACCCACACCCACACCCCACACCTCACACCCACACCCACACACCACACCCCACACCCATACGCGCCCACACCCACACACCCATACCCCACATCCACCCACGCCCCACATCCACCCATACACCCACACCCACACCCACACCCCACATCCACCCACACACCCACACCTACACCCACACCCACACCCCACATCCACCCACACATCCACACCCACACCCCACATCCACTCACACACCCACACCCTCGACCAATCAGACACCGGACAAACAGATGCACACATCCACACCCACCTACACCTACACCCACACCCACACCCCACACCCACATCTCAAACCTCACACCCACACCCACACCCCACACCTCACACCCACACCCACACACCACACCCCACACCCATACGCGCCCACACCCACACACCCATACCCCACATCCACCCACGCCCCACATCCACCCATACACCCACACCCACACCCACACCCCACATCCACCCACACACCCACACCTACACCCACACCCACACCCCACATCCACCCACACATCCACACCCACACCCCACATCCACTCACACACCCACACCCTCGACCAATCAGACACCGGACAAACAGATGAATTTTTGTTGTGAATACTCATTCTTTCAGGATTGAGAACAAGAAAGAAAAATCCTCCTGAAATCTGATTGGTCCATTTTTTGATCAATCAGATTGCGAGATTCTATTTCTGCATGATATGTAAGGCGGAACCCCCACATACACCCCTCATTCGATGGAGCGTCCCCGACAACACTAGGATTGGCCCGGATATGACTAGCACTTGTCCTGATAATAAGAAAGAAAAGTCCTCCTCAAATCTAATTGATCCATTTTTCGACCAATCAGACGCCGGACAAACATACGAATTTCCGTTCCCAATACTCCATCCTTTCAGGATTGAGAATTAGTGTCCACCACCCTTCGGAACTTTAATGAATGAACAATACGGAAACGCGAAAAAAACATTCGACCAACTCAACCTCAGTTTGCTGATATCCTATTGGCTGGCTTCAAAGCGTGAAAAACACCTGATTGGCTCGTTTCCAGGATGCTGAAATCCTATAGGTTGACCGATTCGACCAATCAGACACCGGATAAAAACACGAATTTACGTTGCCAATACCTCATCCTTTCAGGATTAAGAATAGTGTTTAAAGCCATATAGACACCAAATTCAATTCAAACTTTGCTTTACTGGAAATCATCGGTGGACCTTTCTTTCCAAAACTTGGTTTCTATTGGCCCCTAATCCATCAGCGGAGTTTTGAGGCAAACGGAGTTCAGATTCGAATTCCGCGCCCCGAATTACATCAAGGCGGCCAATTTTCTGAAAACTCGATTTGTATTGGTTCCTGGCCGACCAATAGAGTTTTGAGAAAATGGAGCTTAGATTCGAACTCTCCACCTCGAATTGGCTATAGGAAGCCATTTTTCGAAAATCTCGATTTCTATTGGCTTCTGGCCGACCAATAGGATTTCGAGAAAAATGGAGTTCAGATCCGAACTTCCCACCTCGAACTGCCTATAGGGAGCCATTTTTCGAAAATTTCGATTTCCATGGGTTCCTGGCTGGCCAATAGGGTTTCGAGAAAAATGGAGCTCAGATTCAAACTCCCCACCTCAAATTGTCTATAGGGGACCATTTTTCGAAAATCACGATTTCCATTGGTTCCTGGCTGGCCAATAGGATTTCGAGAAAAATGGAGCTCAGATTCGAACTTCCCACCTCGAATTACCTATAGGGAGCTATTTTTCGAAAATCTCGATTTCTATTGGTTCCTGGTCAACCAATCAGACACCGGACAAACACACGAATTTCCGTTTTCTATACTCATCCTTTCAGGATTGAGAATAAATACTATACTCATCCTTTCAGGATTGAGAATAAATATAATTAAACTTACATGGTAAGAATTAAGTACAACAATAGTTAATTGTTTTCCAAATGCTTTTTCATAAATTATTGCAAAATTCGCATGATAATCAAATAGAACTCCATTACAATCAAGAGCTATGATTGGTTTTTTATTTGTACTTATAAATAATATTATATCTTTTGTCATATTTCAATATCAATAACAAAATTCAATCAAATATTATTTATATCTCATTCAGTTCCTACCACGTCATTCTATTTCATAACGAAATTTTTTTATTCTATTTGTAAATCTAGCGCAATTACAGGTTTACACTGCCATTGAAATATTACCGAAAGAAATAAATAATAGTTGGTTCTATTTGCCATATTCGTCATCTTATTTACGAAAAATAATATAAAGAATTTTTTTTTCTGAAACTTATGTCATCGAATGTTATTGAGTAATATTCTAGGAACCAACCTGACAAGAATTGAATATTCTATGATGCAAACATAATTGGTATGAAGTCAACCCATCATTCTCTATACCATTGCTATTTATACAGAAATAGTTCACTGTAGGTAAAGTCATACATGTCCAGAAGAAATGGTAAGATAAATATCTATCAACCATTAATTCCTGCACTATTTCTAATTATAATAGTAGCAATCGATGAACGATTTTTCGTTTAGTAATTTTTATTCAAAAAGGTATTAATGGCAGAATGTGGATGTTCGCAAATACAAGAGTTACATCCATAGCCGCACCACACACGTCCATTCCATATCCAGACCAACGACTCATATCAGCTTGCAGTTCTGCTCAAGAAGTAAAAATTTTAAAATTATTCTTTATTTGATACTTCTCTCATAGTCAAAAAGATTTTCTTCACATTCATGAGTTAAAGAAAAAAAGAGAACGATTAGATCATATATAATGTTTATTTTTTCATATGAAAAAAAGTGACAAACAATACAAAAAAAAAACAAAAATAACAACTAAAAATGATCTTGACATGAACAAGTTCCATCAGGCGAGAAGTGATGAATACAGTTTGCATCACGTACTATTATTTTACATTGCCAAATTTTGGCAATGAGTTTTGTTGCCCGATCTAAAACAATAGATACATAAATTACTAATAAAGATAGAAAAAAAATAGAACAAGAAGAACTTACGACAATCTCCACAAACACGAAGATTCTTCGTAATCTGAATAAACGATGGATTTTCTTCTTGTAAAAAATGATAAGCGATTGCTAGTCGTTCACTATGAGTACATAATACAGATTCAATTGTTTCATCTTCACCTAATGGACGAGTTATCCAACTAGCATCATATTCATGACCATGTTTCATCAATACATCGGATATATATTTTGCTTTAGCATGGATTTCTTTAGATTGAGGATGACGACGATCATTGGCTTTGAACTCCTGAGAAACAAGACAAAATAAAGAGATTTATTTTTCATTCAAATTCCACGATGTTAATTCGAAAATATTCTTACTAAAATTTCACCATTGAATTCTGTCCATGATACTCCTGGTTGAATTTTTGTTCCTAATGCTTTGATTCGATTTAATCGAACATTCTTTGCTTGTTCATGATCACCTATAGATAAATATGTATTACCAAGAAGAACTGAACCAGACTTGAGTGTCTCTTTTTCATTAGGAAATAACATTATCATTCTATCATAAATTTTTTGTGATAAAATATGTTGACGAGAATTACGTGCTCCAGATAATATTGCCACTAAAATCAAACATATAGCAATATAAACAAAAAAAAATTTCGAATTTCGAGAGCACTTACTATACATAACTGAACAAGGTGGATTAGATTTTTCATAATCATCGATGAGTTTTTGTGCTTCATCAAATATATAAAGACGACTTAGACAATCAATCTAAATTATAAGATAATATTCTTATTTGACAAAATAAGCAAATAAATAAACAAACCATTGCAGCAATAATTTGTTTGCTTTTCTGAGAAATTTCATTGAAAATAGAACGAGCTTCATTAAGAAGACCCGAATGAGAACATGCATTTAATACACATACATATGTTATTTCATTACGTAAATGATCAGGCATTTTTCGATATAAATCAACAGCTTCTAAACCCATTCGATTAAGTCCATAGATATAAACTTGAAAAACAAAAAAAATTAATACAAACACAATGATAAAAAAATCTTTCTTTTTACTCAATGAATTATATGTAAAATCATCAGGATTATCGATAGATTGAAAAATCTTCTGAGCATTTTCAATAGAACCAGCCTTTCCCTATAACGAAAAAAAATGGGTGAATGAAATCAATTGTGGCAAGAATTTCAAAAATGATTACATACCCACATATAAATTAATGAATTAAGTATACGTTGATTTTTATATAAATGTGAAGGAATTTGATCAACAACTAATTGACATTTTGAAAGCATACTAAGTCGTGCACATGCATTTATCAATATATTTGATGAGAATTCATCGATTATAAAATTTTGTTGTTTGATTTCCCCTAATAGTTGTAAACATTTGAACGGTTGATTATTTATATTATATCCATTCATCATAGCTCCAAATGTCACAATATTTTTTTTCTTGATCGTTCGAAATAGCTTCTCGCCACTTTCAACATCACCAAACTTCATTAACATATCTATTGCTGAATTGAGTAAAACATTGTCATTATGAAAATGTTTAGGCATTTGATTAAGAAGTTTTCTTCCAATTTCTTTAGCACGATCATTTAAAAGTTGTGCACAAGCATTGAATATTATAGTATAACCGACATTATGAAGTGGAAACGGTAGTTGTTCAAATAAATCTAATGTTTTTTCGTACATCTTATTTTCCACATATCCTAAATATAATTTATTGGATATTCGATAAATATTTATTACGAATTTACCTTTCATCATAGCACCATATGCAATAACATCTTTCTTTTTTATCATTTGGAAAAGATTTTCAGCATTTTCAACATCACCAAATTTCATTAACATATCTATTGCTGAAGTGAGTAAAACATTATCATTATGAAAATGTTTAGGTATTTGATCAAGAAGTTTTCTTCCAATTTCTTTAGCACGATCATTCAAAAGTTGTGCACAAGCATTCAAAACAATGATATGTATCACATTATTGGGATTCAATGACATTTGCTCGAATAAATCTAATGCTTTATCACTCATGTTATTTTTCACGTATCCTAAACATAATTTATTGAATATATGATAAATTCTTATTGTCAACCTACCTTTCATCATAGCACCATATGTAATGATATTTTTCTTCTTCATCATTTGAAAAAAATTTTCAGCATTTTCAACATCACCAAATTTCATTAACATATCTATTGCTGAATTGAGTAAAATATTGTCATTATGAAAATGTTTAGGCATTTCATTAAGAAGTTTTTTTCCGATTTGTTTAGCACGATCATTCAAAAGTTGTGCACAAGCATTGAATATTATAGTATAACCGACATTATGAAGTGGAAACGGTAGTTGTTCAAATAAATCTAATGTTTTTTCGTACATCTTATTTTCCACATATCCTAAATATAATTTATTGGATATTCGATAAATATTTATTACGAATTTACCTTTCATCATAGCACCATATGCAATAACATCTTTCTTTTTCATCGTTTGGAAAAAATTTTCAGCATTTTCAACATCACCAAATTTCATTAACATATTTATTGCTGAAGTGAGTAAAATATTGTCATTATGAAAATGTTTAGGCATTTGATTAAGAACTTTTCTTCCAATTTCTTTAGCACGATCATTAGCAACACGAGCACAAGCACTAAATACAGTATTGAAAACAACTTGATCAGGTTGGATATTCATTTGATCAAATAAATCGAGCACTTTTTCTGGCATTTTATTTGAAATAAGATCTGAAAATAAGCTTACATTTTAACACTAAAATAAGAAATATACTACTTTATTTACCTTTAAACATCGTTGCACGCATATAGTTTGATTTTTTATTATTTATTGTCGAGAGTAAACGATTAGCATTAATTAGGACTATGATGTTGTTCGAGGAAGAAAACTAAAATGACACAATAAAATTCTATTCGCCCAACATATGCTTCATTAAACTAACCTACGATACAAAAGTAATTGCCGAAATGTCAGGACATGGTTCTCCGCTTATGTACATCGTAGTGAGTCAAATTTTTTTTTTATTAAGAAGAGCGTTGTCTGAACTACAAATTTTTTACCAGCCATATTTTTCCAGAATGAATTTAAGAAGGAAGAAAAGCCAAAAACCAAATACCTCTAAAAAAGGTCTCCCAATTTTGCCAGTGAGCAAAATCATTTTTTTTTATTTCTGTTAATTTTTTTAATTCTAGAAGGGAATCGAAAAATACTTTCAATGATGATTTTTGTCGCTTAAAATATACTCTTTCTAATCATGTATTAGAAGTTAACTTTGGTTGTAGTTTTAATACAAATACGCTGCTTTTTCTAAGAGAGACTGAACAATTTGGTTATTCTCACTACATGACCGCTTCGTTGCAGTAAAAAAAGTATTTATTGAACTATTTTTTTCTGTTAAATTTCTATGATCTGACATATTTCGAATGAATAATGCAAAATGAGTCGAATTCATGTATGATTTCTGAAGATGGTGGCTAATATTCTTTCAGATTGATAGTTCTTGGAAAAAAAGGCTTTTTATAAAAAGATTTCATTTTTTAAATCTTGTTGATTAAAGGTCAAGAATGAACCTAAAAACTTTTAACAATGCTGATATCAATCGAGTTTTTGATGCGCTACATTTTGATGTTTTTCTTGTAAAAGTTTAGTGCAGGTAGCCTAAAATAATTGAGAAAAAACACATTTTTCAAGTCGCAAAAAAGTTGCAAGAATCTTTTTAGAGGTGTTTGATTTTTCCTCCTTCTTGAACTCGTTCTAAAAAATATGGCTGGTAAAAAATTTGTAGTTCAGACAACGCTCTTTTTAATAAAAAAAAAATTTAACTTTCCACAATGTACCTAAGCGAAGAACCATGTTTTGACATTTCGGCAATTACTTTTGCATCATAGGTTATGTTCAGTATAAACAGTATTACATAATGTCGAATATTCAATTTAGAACATCTATAAAGAATCTAAAGCAATTGATTTTGACATGGAATGTCCTATTAAATAGGCTATTGAACTAAGATTAAAACTATATTCTAGATGTTCTGTATCGTGTAATTTTTATGTTGTAAAAAAATCTTAAATATATTGCCATTTGACTGACAAGTTTCGAAAATACCCTAAAAAAATGGTATATAATGGTAACATTTTATAAATTTTTGAACTAAATTAAAGTACTATGCGCGTGTTTTTTGATTACTTTCTGAAGTGCATCTTGTGCAGTTTTTTTCGCTCTATTGAATCCCTAAGAAATTATTGTCGGTCCGAATGTTTTTCGATATTTTTTTTTTCATAACAATATTGAAAAACAGTATATAATTTTTAAAATGATTATATATATTTTTTTTGTTGTATTTCAGAGAATGAATCTTCATAGATATGTGTTAAAATTATTTAAGGCAAATGTAAATATATAGTTTTGTAGAGCAAAACTTGTTCTATCTTTTGAGATATAATTCAATTTGATTTGATTAACTTTTAGGAAAAATACTAATCCCATACTGAGAATAGAAATAACCAAAAAAACCATAATCATTGATTTTAGGGCTTTATAGAGGTACGTTCAATGTTACTTTTATATCTATTCAAGAATCATTCCTAGAAGACTAAAAATTTGGATTTACAGGTTTTTTTATATGCTCTTTCATTTGCAATAATCAAAAACATAGGTCAAAATTTTTTGTATGGCACGAATTCTCGATCGAGCGATGGATCCTCTCTTAAGGCCTCTCAAAAAAGTCACTTTTCGTCAGAATAACCGAAATTAAGATAAATGTAGGGAAAGATAGTCCATCATCTGATTTCTCATAAGCGACAAAAATTTTTACTCAGCACCTCGGTTTTTTTTCCAAAAACTTTTGAAGATTTTCGTCATCCTCTATTGAAAAAATAAGCTGTTTTTGAAAAAACTCGAAAATCTTTCTTGTTTTTTGTCGTTTTATAGTTTTCGATCGCATCTCCAAGAATTCTCGAAGAAACTTCATTGTAGCCAATAGGATTTTATTTTATTTGAAAGAGCGTGTCAAAGTGCACTACCTATAAGAGTCCGCCTCCCCACTACAGCCCCAACATATCCTGAAATCCATTTTTGATGGGATGGCCTTAAAAAAGACGCTTGTTTTGTTACTACAAAAAAGTTATGAAAGTTGCCAAAAATCACTAAAGCAATATTTTTTGAAATAAATAAATACCTATGTTAGATAGTGTCTAGTGTTATGGAAAAAAAAAGTTTCAAATCTATAACCATTTACCATTTCAGAGAAACGGAAACGAAACAATACCCTTATTTTTTGTATAAAAATTGGTTTTAAGGCCGATCCCCTCCCTCCAAAAATAGATTTTTTTTAAAAAGTTCAATTTTCGAGATAAACATATGGGTGTCATCTCTAAGGTGTCTAGTTTTAAAATTCATGAAAGTCACCTTCCAATTTCGAAAGGTTTCTTTAGAGTAATCGATGAACTTCTAAAGCTCTCTAGCAAAAAACATGGTACCTAAGACTATAAAGAACTTATAGGTCCACTCATTTTTATCGCCCATAATGACAAACAATGACACGGCGCACTGTTGTACGTCTACTCGATGAAACGTCTGATGGGCTTTCAATTGATATACAATATAACTATGATTCTCTCTAATGTATGAAAATGATTCAACAAAATATTCAACGAAAAAAATATTCGAACGTTTTTCTCAAAACTAACTTTTGGCAAAACTGAGAAATTCCAAACAAATTTTTTTTCACTATAGTTCGTTCTATCGAACTGCAGTTTTTTTTATTCGATAGATTGATCAACCCTCTTTTGAATGAGGGAAATGGAATTTACATTCGATCCTTAATATTGAAAAAACCAAAGGTTTTCTGGAAAACCTTTGCTAGGGATTTTTGAACTTGAAGATTTCGAGAGTTGCAAAAATAAAATAAAATGAAAATTAAAAAAATCCTTTCTCTCATCCGAAGCAGCAAGGAGTTCTCTTTCAAATGAGACCACCCTAGACGCTGTAGCGTGACGTGTATTGAAAAATTCCTTGTTCCCATGGAAGCCCTATTTTACCCCTTGATTGTTCGAAATCTTTCGAACGATAAGATTTAGAGTCCTGAAATTTTTTTTTATATATTTACAACTATGAGCCGAACATTTCTAGAAAGTTTCGTGAAATTCCCACGCACTATAACGAAAATCGATTTTGGAGAGGGGAGGCGGTCTTAAAAAAATTCTAAAACAAAATTCAATTTTGATTTTCTTCTAAATACTCGGAATTTTTCTTCTACCCTTGAAGTTTTTATAGATTTTCTATTTCTGCGCATTTGATGGATATGAGACTGTAGAAAAATTACATACACATCTTACATCGTTCTTTCCGAAGTCAAAAGAATTTATTTTTAGGCAGACTTAAAGATCACATTTCAAAATGTATATATATATTAATAAAAAAAACCAAAAAATGAATAATAGATAGAAAGAACTTACTATTTTGTTCATTTTCATCGATTTCTTCAATATCTATATCTTTCATATAAAGAAATAGACCTTTAAGACAAGCACTTAATTTATTAATCCAATGATAATATTCAAAACGAGATGAAATTATTGTTAAAATTATATAAACATAATCGGATAAAGATTTTTCTAGAATATGATTTAAATAAGATACAATATGATCTTCATCAATTATATATCGAATTGTTTTTAATATAAATGTTCTTATTGCTGTGCTGTACTATCTGATAGATTTTTGATAAATATTCAATTGTTTAATTAATAATTCTTGTTTATTTTGATTAAATAATTTATATTGATAATGTTTAGAAATATATAATGCTAAAAATTATGCAAGAATATAATATATATAAAAATTTTGATCTGAAACAAAAAAAAAAGTTTAATAATATGTGAAAAGAAATTATCATTAAATAATTGATAAAGATTATGTTCATAGATAAGAATAGCTATTTATAATGATAAATAATACTTAAAGAAATTAAAAATTTATGATGAAAAAGTTGATTAAGATAATTATTTTTTTTATTATTTTTAATTCAAATATTTGTAAATTTTGATGTAATGAATAACGTATTAAACGAAGTTAATATTCAAATGTAATAATATTTGTTGAATGATAAGGATAAATATTGTAAGGCTTTCGTTGGAGGGGAATTGTGATTCTAGCCTGACACTATCGGTTTTGACTAGATGGTCAGTATATTTAATCCCGGTCTGCAACGGGAACGAGAGATCTTACGTAAATAAAGTAAATAATCATACTGACTTTGATTATGTTGATAATAAGATGAGTGAGTTGGGGATATATATATGGATTTATTCATATGAATATATTCATAAACATATAATAATAACAATATAATAATGAAGGACAATATGAAAGGGGAAAAGAATAAAGGAAGAGAAAAACAACTTGCGACCAATAAGGAGGAAAATCAACAATAACTGAGAGGAGAAAAACAACAAGAAGGATAATCACTGGAATGGAATGTCCAGAGAAAAACATATACTGACCATTTAGATAATGAAGGAAAATCCAATAGAACACAAATAGAAAGTTAGCGGTAATAGAGTGACCTCTATTGACGCTAACAAATATTTTGATAAAATAATTATTTCAATAGATAATTTTAATTATGAATATTTTTTTGTGAAAAATTTCATTTAATAATTGAGTAAATCATTCAAAATAATCACAAAATAATTGAGAACTATCTGATTGAG